CTGCTGGTCAGAATCATGGCCAAGAGAAGCACCTAGAAATCCCTAATCAAAGAAGGATTGTCATTGAATCATTCATCTCAGGAAATTCAATTTCAAATGAGATTGAAATTTGAAACATTAATGATTAAAAAAAAAATCCTTAGATAACACTGAACTACTTACCTCAGCAAATTGTATGTTGATTCGATCCGGGATCTCCCGCTGGAGCAGCACCACACCGGCACTGACCACCATCTCCAGATCCTCCCGACGCACCTTCTCCGGCCATCCCTTCATGTTCGCACCTCCAACGATGATAATAGAGTTCTGACCATCAGGCTTCAGCATGACTACAGCAAAGCCCGTAGGAACTGCAAAGACTCGCGCGAGGCGGTCAAGCCGAACACCACCACCACGGAGCGCATCCTCAATAAGTCGTCCATGCGCATCATCGCCGATCTGGCCTACAAAGTAGGTCGGGTGCTCAAGGCGGCCACCGCAACATGCCTGATTAGCACCCTTCCCGCCGGGGAGGGTCTGGCCATCGCGGGCCGCGACAGTCTCGCCTTCTTTGGGAAGCCGGTCTATCTCGACGTATATGTCGGCGTTTGCGGAGCCGACGACGACAACAGGTTTGTTGATGTCAGCCGAGAGATCCGAAGTGGAGAGGGTGGCGGCGGGGGTAGCAGGAGAGGGGAAAGTGAGGCGAAAGGAGACATTCGATTTAGGGTTTGGAGTGGTGATACGGGAGGAGAGGAGCCGGCAAGAGTAAAATGGAGCGCTATGGAGCTGAGAGAAGACATTCATCTTTCAACGATGGGTTCTCCCTCTGTATTCTTTATTAGAATGAGAAGGAGAGACGATTCAGAATGTCCATATTTGATTAAATTATAGGGAAAATAAAAAACAGACCATCCAAAATATTCATATTTACAAGAAACTACCTCTGTGATTTTTTTGAATTCCTTTCTCGGTAGCGTGTAAACGAGCCGAACACAAGCGAGTCTAGACTTAACACGTGTTTGGCTTGTTTATATTTCGAGCTCAAAAAATGTCTTCAAGTTCTGCTCGTTTGCTTAGCGAGCACGAGTTTATCACGAACAAAAAGTCATTTTGACAACCTTAATCACGTAGCCGTAAAATTTAAAGTATATATATTTCAAAAAGAAATCGGTATTTGGCTGAGACCAAGATACTGATTTTGAATGCGCTAGGTCCTATGATGAGAGTCTGCATCATGTGCATAAATATTCGAGAACCCAACGCCACTGGGAATCAAATCCACGACGAGTCGAACATGAATGAACAAAATCTTTGTTCGTGTTCGGCTCGTTAACTTAGCGAACGAGCCAAACACGTGCTTCTTAACGAGCTGAACACGAGCTGTTCGCGAACAACGGCCGTTTTGATAGCCCTACAGTTCTCACGATCAAACTATTGAGAATTATTCAGAAGTGAAAAATATGTGTTGGGGTTTACTGTAAGTCCCCTCAACCCTAATATTTGAGCGAGAATTTAAAAAATGGATAAAAGGGAGGGGCTGTTTGTGAATAGCAAATTTTAGGAGGTCCGATTGTTGTCTATTGTGCTAATTTTAAAGTAAATATAATCTTCCTCTAACCAGATTGTGACCTGCTTGTTGTCGTTCACATTGCTTCGTTGTCTCGCCTGATCAACAAGTGATGACACAGTGATGCTTGAACCATTCCCTTGTTCTTGCAACATCACTGTCTTACCTTAGCCTTAGGCTTCGTTTGGGGACAGCTTATTAGCTACGGTGACATTTTGAAAAGCCGGAATTGTGTTTGTTACATCACTTTTTTCTTTCGTGATTTTACCTATTTGCCTGAAAGAACCATCGCTTCACGACTAAAACTTCGTGATATAGTCATGATTAGAGCTAGAACAAAGGAATCACGGCATAGAAGGGCCTCTGAAACTCTCATCTTTTTTCCTCATTCCTCTCTGCTCTTACTCGAAACCACTATGGAAGGTAACCGTTGTCGGTCTTCCCCTTCCGTGCCCACCTCTTAAGCTCTTCTAAATACTGTTAATTTGTCTTGGACTGAAGGCGATACGGAGGAAAACCAGATTAAAGAATTTGTAGGAAGTGTACACTGCAGATGATATTTTCTTTTTGTTTGCCAAACATTATGGAAAAGCAATTTTTAGTTTGCTTTTTATCAAAAGCATTATTTCAATTGTATATATAAACTTCTTAGTGTTGTATGTGTGGGAAGCTGGTGTAAATATCCCACATAAAGTTTACTCTTGTGCTGTAAAGGAATCAAAAAGTTGTGCGTAATCATAGATCTCCTCTGAGATCAGATAGATCAGTAGAATCATATTGGCATTTAGGTTCTTTTTTGGCTACTACAGTGATAGGGAAGGTGTTTAACATGGATTGAAGCTATGATCTTGAACGAGGTGTCTGTAATAGTTGAGTGCCTAAAGTACAAAAATACTTGAGTAGAATGTGGCAGTGGCAGTCAAGGAGGGAGGATGGTGGAATGGTGCTTGTAGAGGGTGTTGCTTGTAGAGGGGGGAGTGGAATGTTGTTTCTTAGAGAGGAGGTATAGGAAGAGGTTGAGGAAGGGGTTGTTGGAGCAACAAGTGAGGAGGGACAATAGGTCACTTTTGGGGTGGGTCGGGGGTGTTTAGAATAGTTGGAGTCAAGGTAATTTTATTTTACATTCTATCCGACAGAAAGAACTTCATTGAATTCGCTTTCAGTTGGCGATGTTCTGATTGAGGAGAGGTTGAGGAGACTATTGTTTGAGTAAGGTGGGACAAGAGGTCACAGGGACAAAATTATCACTTATCCAGAAATAGCTGCAAAACAGCTGTTTTTCAACTGCATAAACCAAACAGTCAGCCAGCTTATCCGGATAATTTGTTTATTCAGATAAACTGTTTATCAGTAGATTATTGATAAGCTGTAGCTGCTCCAAACAGACCCTTAGGTTTATGGTTTGGGAGAGATTGCCTACCTCTCAAATTGTTGGTGTTTATTCTTTATTTTTATGTTCATAATTGTATTATTTGCTTTGGAGCAATAAACTATTTATTTTACCCTAATTTCTACATAGAATCCTATTAGTACACTTGTATCCCCCTTAAAGATAGCAATGATCTATGATGCATCCATACATAATGACAAGGATAGGTTATCATATAGGCTCAAACATTCATTTATTGAAAAATATAGGATATGGATATGCATTGGGCATGACATGATAGTATTGTATTTTAAAAAATATAAAATTAAAATTATCGTTAAGTAGCTATTAAGTTATTTTAGTAATTTATTTAAAAACAAAAGAGAAGCGATTACCTAATTTATGTTATTGATGTAATATACTTTTAAAATTAAAATTTATCATTTAAGGAACACATGTCAAAGTGTTCATTTTTTTTTAAATTTTATTGGACGTAAATGACATTTTTGGCACATGTCTAGCACACGTTGGACTAATGTATGTCTGTTTGACATGCTTCGTTATTATGGGGTTGAGGTTGATCATAGTCAATCCTTCGTGTAAGTTCTATGAAACCATTATGGTTGTCGTAAAATAAATAACTTATAAGAAAAAAAATATATATTTCAAATTCTTATATATCAAATTACTTGAGATTTGGTATCATCTAAATGACAACAAGCCATATATTGGCAATTTTGGCTTTGTAATCAACACAAATTAAAAACGAAAGCCCAATGCATACCTTACCTTTCAAAGTTTCAATCAAATGTGCAAAACCAATTATTGAATAGTTTAAATGACGAGATAAAAAGATGAAATCACCTCGAAGAGAAGAATCAGGCCAATGTTACTATGAGTGCTCCCTTCGGGAGTAGTCATTGACTTTGTGAAGCTCTCTAAGAATGCACTTTTAACAAGCACTCATGAGTAGAGAGAAAGATTGAAAACTCACCTTTATGTTTGATGTTCACTGCATGTCTTTGTGTTCTATTTGTAGTTTACTACAACAACAACTACAACAACAAGCCTTTATCTCACTAAGTGTGGTCGACTACATAAATCTTTTTCTCCATTTTGTTTTAGTGAGGGTCATATTTTTATTTAATTGTAATAAATTAAGATCATTTTTTATACAACTTGCTCGAGTCTGTTTAGGTCAACTTCTATAATGCTCTTTCACTCATTCTCTATCTGCCTTTCTTAACGCTCTATACATTGGGTGTGTACTCCAGACACATTGGGATTCAACTTCCTTAAAAGTGCAGTGAGCGTAGAAACATGTCATCAACAAGAAGAGGAGTTTAGCAACAACAACAGAAAGAATCCAACCAAAGTAACATGGCACAAGCATCATGCACCAAGGAGTTCATGGAAGAATTCGTCAAGCAAGGCTCACAAGACTTGAGGACCCAAATCACCAATCAAATGGCAGGACAGTTCACAGAAGTGCTCAGGGTGGTCGCTGCACTTGCGACGACCCCATTTCCAGAAGGAGAACCGGCCTAACAATAGGCACTCAACCCCCCTCAAGGGGAATCACCAACAAACAATGGGATAAGAATGATCCACCTACTGGAGAAGCCCGATGATGGTTATATTAGGATAACGCCAGATCTGCCCCCTAGGAAAAAAACCAACCGATACGAATCGAGGAGTCGAGACAGTTGAAGAATGTCTTCTCGCTACAAGTAACAGAAGTTGAACCTCCGAAGAAGTTCAAAATTCCTGCCCTAGAGCCATACAAAAGAGAATCGGATCCCAAAGATCACCTCGGTTCATTCGAATCCTCCAAATGTCTGTTAAAGATTTCTGACGCTCTCCAGTGTAAGTTATTCTTCACAATGTTAAGATAATTGATGTATAGAAAAGAAAGTTAATTTTCCTTTATGGTTTACACATGTTTATGGATGAAATTACACTTTAAAGAAAGATATTTTTATGTTTTTCTTGCAGGGACAACATGTATTAGACGTGGGGCAAACCTCTTACATGCTCGTTTTCCCCATAAATATTTAATATGACATAAAACTTCAAACATAGAACACCAAAATTTAAGGACAAAACCAAATGGAGAACGCAACATAGAAAACCAACTGTAAAGGTTTAAACTTAGGAAAAACTTAATTTTCATAGAAACTAACAAAACTAGGAGCTAAAACAAATCACAAACTAAATATCAAACTCCAAACTAAAATATAAAATCCATCAGCATAAAGAACGAAAATCAAATCTAGATAGATCTGATACGAACCAAATTGAGAATGACATGCGATAGATTTTTAGTGCAATTATAAGGATTATTGATTCTCTAGAATTTATCTTCACATCTTCAATTTGGTGTTATTCATAAGGATAATATATAGCAATTTTTAAAATCTGCCTACCGTGGTACTAATTTGATTAGACATTATTTTGATGTTTTGGGCATTTTTTTTTTTTTGATAGTATCTGAAATATTGTGATAGTTTTCAGAAAGCAATATTAAGAGCAAAGCTAATGATAATGTGAATGACAAACTAGACTTGGGAAGTATTATGGAGGGGAGTAAAAGCTCCAAGAGACTCTAACAAACTCATGAAGCCTAAAGGTAAGTATTACCTTACTTTAGATTGACGAATAACAATCTGTGAGTGGGTATAGTATCTAAAGGTACTTAACGGGTATGCATACAATTTGAGTAACTATATTGACTTGAGAGTAGAAAAAATATTTGGCATAAAAAGTCATGACAATTTTATTTCTCGCAAAGCTTCCAACCAACTATATTTAATTTTGCTAAGTATATTATTCAATGATTTATGTGTAGTTCATTTGAATATTGAAGCA